TTTTTTTTTTTTTTTTTTTTTTTTGCTGTCTCCCGATGCACTATCATGACATGCAAAGCGTCGAGTTTACGCGTGCACTAACAAGCACATCAAGAGGCCATCCTTATTGCTGCATCTTAAACTCTCCTAAGATAAAATCTGGGGAGTTAGACCACCCGGTAGTGGAACTCCCCAGAGGTATGCAAAGTCACTCGTAAGCACCCCGCCAGCACGCGAAGCCTTAGTGCTGTCAGTAAACACCACGAAAGTGGGACCCACAGCCCTCACACTGACTCACACTGTGTGAGGGGACAGCCCTCGACTCCTCTTACTCCTGAAGCTACATGAAAAGTGCAACAGTCTACCTTTCCATGGGCAGGTCTCTGTTTCCATGGGCAGGTCTGGGGCTTTGGTGGAGGACGGTGGCCCACAACTGGGCTCTATGAGTGTGGGTTCCCTGGCTCAGAGCAGCTTCAGACTCCAGTGATTCCCGCCCAACACTCTTCCATCAGAGCACGATGCCTGGGCCTCCTTTCCTGCCATAATCTTTTCAAATATCCTCTGAGGAAAACAGCACATTCAACGGATGCAAGTCTCAGCGTGTCCTTGGCAGACCTGCATGGCAGATCAAGGAAGAAGTATGATTGTGCAAAATGCGCGTGACTCCTTGCGTTTCAGTCTGGGCCTTCTGCGAGCGGGCCAGCTGGATTTAGGACTAGACGGTGACCACTGCCCCACCCCTCTGCCTCCCGTCATTAGATCCCTGGCCTGGGTGTCACTTTAGGTGCAGTGGGGTGGGCCTCACAGTGGAAAGGACCAGGAAAACAGTCAATGCCAAGTAGCAGCCACAGGCTCTTGTAACTCCAGTGTTCCCTGACATCATGCAGACCCATCTAAGAATCACACATGTTAGCACATAACATGCTCCATGCCCTGGCGTGTCAGTTCACAGAGGTGGGATTTTTGTCTGTTTAGTTCACTGCTTTGCCCCCAGGGCCTAGAATAGTGTCTGGCCCATCATAGGTGTCAATAAATATTTGTTCAACAAACACATAAAATTCTGTAATGAGAGACCCTGGAGAAGAGTAAGCTTAAAGCCCTCTGTGGCCCCCAAACACCCACGGCTCTTTAAATTAGTCTAGTCAACGCCCAGAGAGATGTAGCAGCTTTGGTGAAGTCGCACGGAGTGATCCTGGAACTACAACCTGCGACCCTCGAGATCCTTTATTTCACTTGAGTGTGGCCAGAGTGAAGGTCTCCAAAACTTGACCAGCTGTCTGGCCTGGAAACTGGCATCTCCTGCAAACCTGAAGGGGAGACCAGCACAGCAGCGTGCACGGGCAGCTGGCAGCACTGCTCATGACTACACAGGGCTCCTCGTGGCTAGACTACGTCACAGCAGGTCCAAGGAGCCTGTCCACGTCCTGCCCCTTCTCCACCCAGTACCTACCATCCTGGCGACCTTGGCTGTCACCTTGGCCGTGACTCACACCAGCGCTTTGCTTGGAGGCGCAGGTTCGGGGAGCCCAAGCTCCTACTAGAAGTGAGTGGTTTCTGCTCGCTGCTTGCGGGGTGGATGGAGAACAACAGAGGCTCAGTACCACGTGCCAGCAGAGAAGGCCCCTGAGCAACTCAGAGCTGACCGGAATTTCTCATTTTCCTCTGGAATTGGCCATCTCTTCCCCGCCTGCAGATTCACTAGGGGTGCATGCGTAGTACTAATTTATTTGGAAAATATGTCACAGGTCAACACAGACTTTAACACTATTCTTTTAAGGCTGCGTTCTAATTTGCCACTGGCCCCGGCAGCTGTTAACTGACTCCGGAATCCTCCTCCCTTGCCACGGCCTTACTTGAGTGCAGAGCGGTGACCCTGGCTGCAGGCTGCCGCTCAGGCTCTGAGAGCGCTGCACTTGCTCTCTGTCTTCCAGTTCGGCAGCTGTTAACTGACTCCGGAATCCTCCTCCCTTGCCACGGCCTTACTTGAGTGCAGAGTGGTGACCCTGGCTGCAGGCTGCCGCTCAGGCTCTGAGAGCGCTGCACTTGCTCTCTGTCTTCCAGTTCGGTTATTTCACTTCCTCTGCCTTTTATTCTGATTCCTCTTTCTGGTAGATGAGGACCTGCCACCATCCATCAGGGATTTTATTCTTCATCGTGAAAAACTGTAGCCCAGATGCCAGCTTCTGCTTGGTATACAGAGACTGAAGATCAGTCTCAACTCTAAATTTTATAAACCTCTTATAATAAAATCCCCTCAGATGTAAGTGTGCTGTCTCGATAATTAGATAAATACACCCGACCACTGGTTACCAGCCTAGTGAAGGGTCTAATGATGTTATTTTCCACGACTGTGCTGGTCTGACGGTCCCCATCAAATATCTGTCTGTGCTACCACTTGTCAGCCTTACACACAACTGTCGACATAAAAGCACTTACAAAAGTAACTGCTCAGACATGAAAATCACAGGGCAGGAGCTCATTAAACAAAGAAACGGCACGAGCTGTGGGCTGTGTGCTAGACAGAACGTTAAGTGGTGTTTCCTGCTAGCGGGAAGGTATCGGGCTTTTAAATATTATTCACGTTTCATCATGCACCACATGCTCCTGCCTAATTGCTGAATGTTTTCTCTTGTGCTTAAATTTTATGCCACAGATTATTAAAAATTGACTTTACAATATTTATTCTACTTATCTTCTCAAGCCAGACTGGGCTTAGCCCATAGGTTTAGTGAATTATTAATTTTTAAAGGCAATTTGTGCTACATTTTACACTTGGATGATGTCCAGAGAGACCCTGATTTCTAGTCCAAAACTTACAGAACTGAATCGCTTTGATCCATCTTTAATCTAAAGACTCTTAAAGCACAAGCCCAGAGATGTAAGAGCTAATGAGTCCCTCCAATGTAATGTAAAAAGCTAACAAGCACTTAGTTAACACTTAGATTCACGTGATGAAAGAGGAAAGCTACCATTTCCGGTAGGTTATCTGAGCAATAACCTCGGACAATGTGATTCATTCAGTCACGTAACAAGAACTGCTCATAGACACAATGACAAATGTATTAATGATAAACCATTGTGCCAGCAAACACTCCAGATCACCCAAGCTCACTGCAGAGCTGACACCAACCTCCCGGACCCACTACACCTGTTCTGCCACGTCTGCTGAGGCCATGCCCTCTAGAAGTTGCTCCTGGTTTTCCTATAATTCAGTCTGCTTGGGTGATAGTGAAATTCCACCGTCAATACACTAAAATTCTAAATTTAAATTATATACTAAATTGTGAGTAGACTCCTAGATACCAAAAGGTAAAATGGTTAATAACCAACCCCTTACATTTTTGTATATATATATAAACCCTTGCTTTTGTCTTATCTTTCTGAAAACCAACCTTGCCTAAATGTTCGTTTTCTTAGCCCCACTATTTAACCAAGATCCAGTGTTCAGGTGGGTCCTTTCCTTCTGCAGCTATGCAGTTAACATATAAAAAGGGCATAGGACATACTTAGCTGGTTCATCATGAGAAATACATGCAACAGAAAAGGAAAAGTTTCCAAGTAAATTAACAAAAATTGAGACATATTTTTTTTTCCAGAGTGTCCTTCAGAAACTTTAGAAGACTTGATATATTTGTAGGAATTAGGAAGTTCATTATGCTTAAGAATCACTATTGTATCAGTGTTGTTCAACATGAAACTAGCTGGGGCACCGGCAGGGAATGATTTGGGTTAGTCGTACCGTTCTTCAATTACTCTGGCCAGACGTGGGGTTTACAGTCTAGAGTTCTGTGTGAAGCCTGTTTACAGAAGAAATTTACTCAGGGTACTGGAGACTTCAGACAACTGTTTTGTATCACAGACTTTTCTTTTCCATTCTGGTGCTATTTCGATTGCTTTGTGGATACCTTGAAGAAATCCTTAAATAGGTGGCAATCAGAGTTTAGAGCAGCTGATGCTTTGTCTGTCTCTAGACAGGGCCCCCTGTCATAAGGGGGTCCTATCCTGGCTGGGGCCATCGAGGGAGCGAGCTAGAGCTGAAACTGCGGCAGGAGCAAAGTCAAGGAGCAGGCCCTCGAAAATGTTAAAACCCAAGCCCTGAGCCTGGGTCTGGAGTGTTTTCTCAGGGCTGCAGGGATGCTCACAGCTGACCTGAAATTCTAACGTGATGCTCCCCCGCACCAGGACTGAGCTGCTTGATTTTCGTGAACAACTTTACAAAACACCATAATTACGCAGACCATAATCCTAAATGTCGTACAACATTCTTCAGTTTACAGAGTTGTCCCTCCCCGGCAGAAGGAGGCACAGTCCCGAGGTGAAGATCTGGCTCAAGAGGCTCCGGGGCCAAAACGAGCTGCTCAGCTGGCCGTGGCCTCCCACACAGGAGCCCTCCTGCTCCACGCTCCATCTTACCCAACACCTGAGTGCACGGAGTGACCTTCCCATGGTTCTTAAACATACTTCAAATACCTTATCCTTTAGAAAGTCTAAGCATTTTATCCATAAAGAAGAGCAAGGCCCCTCCCCACCCACCCATTCTCCGTGCACTTGGCCTCTGGGCTTCCAGCACAACCTCCCGCTGCACCCCACTGGCACACGGCACTGGCGCTAATGCATGCAGTTGGTTACAGGTCACCGCTGTGCGAGGTGCACCGGGCCCCGGCAATGCTGGTGGAATGGTGAGTTGATGGCATGTAGGCAGCAGCCACAGTTCACCCTGAGGACACAGAGCCCAGGTGGGGGGTGGTGCCGAACCCATCCTCAGGGCCCTGGGACTGCCTCCAGGGAAGCAGCTCCAACCCATGGCACAGACGTCTCTTATTATACACAAGACAATAGATGAACGAGATCACAGACATTTGCTCACTTGTCAAACACACCACGCAGGCTCCTTTTCTGTCCATTTTGCTGTGATTTAGGAACATCACTCACCCCTCAGCATCTCCATTTGCTCCACCTGTAAAATAGGAATGAGTCTTATCCATCCTTTGTTCTTACTGTGAGTCAAAGAGAAGCTTATACAAAGCAAGTAGCATAGTGCCTCAGAAATCTCTCAACAAATCGCTTCCTGATATCTGGTCTACATTGCATGTTCCTGTCCATACACCACACATTTCCTGACAGTCTGATCTGCACTGCCTCACCATCTGGTCTACACTGCCTACCCATCTGGTCTACACTTTCTGACTGTCTTGTCTACACTGCCTGACTCTCTGGTCTATACTGCCCGCTGCTGTCACATGCTTTCTCAAACACTCCTGCAGTGACAACTCCCAAGCCCATTGACTTGATGTCCCCACAAGGAATGTTTCACAAACACAGGTTTTGCCACTCTCCTTCTCGGCCCTGTGGGTGGCCCCACCCCTGGCTGGATGTCCCGCCCCTTTCCTGCTCAGGGGACACACTCTGTGTCTCACATGTCAACTTTCCAGACAGTACCCACAGGGAAGGTGTAGTTTGGACAAGGGTCCTGTAATGGAGCTCTCACCACATGACTCATGGGCTGGGATCTCATGGAGACTAAGGGAGTTCATCAGGCCCAGTTCTGCGGAGTGGAGCTCCTGGCAGACTCTGCCCTCATAGACTCCACAAGGGCAGCAGTGGGGTCAGGCTCCTGCTGTAGATGTACATTAAAGAACAGCTCATGTCGGCCCAGCCTGAACTGGCACCTCCTGCAGCCCCTCCCTGAGCAGGCAATCCACCTGCTCTTCCTGTCAGGGTCCCACCAGCAACTCACTGTGAGCCTCTGCCAGGTCCATCAACAGGGAGAGTGTGAACCAGCAGAGAGAGGACAGCCAGGAGCCCAGGGACACCCACAGGGACCAGTCGGTCATCTGACAGCCCATGGGACAACCAAAAATGTCTCCAGACATGGCCAAGTGTGCCCTGGGGGCAAAATTACACCTCCAGTCCCACACTGGTCTAACACACAGTGAAATCTGATGCTGTTTGTTGGGGTAACTGAGGAGAATTCACAGCAAGAGTCAATGTCCCCAGACAAGGGTTTCTTCATCCTACTCAACCCATTTCTAACATTCACTGAATCTTGCTAAGTATTTCTATCCATCTTGGCAGAACTGATTGTATAATTTGCAAATCCATTTTTACTGAAGACTATTAGAATTTGACAAAAAGTTTAAAAGGATGAGTCAGTCCTGTACCTGTGAGCATCCTCAGTGCTCAGCCTGTGGGCCGCTCCACAGTGAGGCTG